AGCCCCACTGAAACCAGTGCCTCTATATAACACAAGTAGCTAATATGTATGAATCCTGTTTGCTCGTTCTCTTTAGGTGAGGGGTGAAGAAGTTCACTTTCACTTAGCTCACCTTTCTTTCCACTTCTAACTGGTGATCATATCTACCTTGTACAGAAGATGAACGTCAACATGCAAGTGCCTTAAACCTGCATTCTTTTTAGCAGCCACCAGGGGTCGACATGTGTGGCTGCAAGAACAGTCCGAATCTATACAAGTACTTCCTGCTTAGTTTTTCCTCATTCGTTTACGGTGTCAGTCTCTAGTTTTACATCTTCTTGAACGCGGTACGACGGCCACGCCTCCTTCCGCCGTCTCCTGCATTCACTTTCTTGAATTTTCCAATTAGAAATAAGTCAAGTTTACTGGTTGTTTTTCAAGCAGGAAGTTTCAATCCATACACAACATCCATGTTAACAAATACACAGGACAAAGCGCGGGCAATTTAGCGACATCCCCGCCGCTGTGGTCTCGAAATACGTTTCTGAGTTCTCTTTGTCTGAGACGGAGACGAGGCTGAGTAAAAATGCGATCGGTTTAAGATGAGAAAAAGACCTTCAAAAAGACCAAGCTCGAGTACTACAACACTACCAGAAGAACAGACGGGCTGTTTGCAAGCACAGGCTGAATAACAACAGAGCCCACAAGGTCAGTGGAAAATAGAAAGGTTTGAATAGGAAACACAAGATCTGCAGCGTCTGAAATGGTAACCGTGTGGGTGATGACTGTCACATCTGGCTGCCATGCATTGTGCAAATAAGCAAAATAGATTATAAAGAAAATGTTTTTTTTAATCAGCTGCTCAGTCGGCAAAGTAGATGGATTTGATTGGATGTTTGATGAATGTTAATTGTGATGTTTAAGTCCTTTGTATGATATTTTATCCATGTCAAGTGCCGTTAATATGCAAGAATTGTTATTTTCTACGTTTGTACTTCCTAAACCCGAACCATGGTCCAAATCAGTCGCTCCAAATCTGGTGTTTTTCAGGACAAATGGCGATTTATGGGGCACAAACCTGCTCCTTCCAATGAAAACCGTGATTTTTACCTGGTTAACATCTCCATATGGTGTTTTTTTTAAATGCAAGAAGGCATGCTATGAGTAAAATAAGCATTCAGTGCGTGTGGACACCACGAGTTGGCTGCGCTTCATTTGGGAGTTCAGAAGTCAGGCCGACACCTTCAGCTCTTGGTCGTGTTCCTCAGGCCGCTCCGGAGCACTAAATAACTTAACACGAGTGAAAGGAACAAAGGTTTCCCAGCAGAACGCTGCACCGTGACGTGTTGATCAATGTTGTTCCTGCACCTGTCAGTGGTTTTTAGTGACTGGTGCTCGTCTTGCACCAGCTGGTTGTCTGGTCAAAGACGTGGTAAATGTTTTCAGGCGGATTTCAGTTCAGCTCGGAGGCAAAGCTGCAGGTCACACTCACAGTTTGCAGCAGAAAGTCGGAGCCCTATTTGATGTGAAAAAGTTAAAAACCATAATTACCGTAATTAAAGCTATGAGTAGCAGGTAGCCATGGCAATGAGAGCCTTTGGCTTTTTCACATACTTTCTTTGCTTTTATCTTGCCATGAGTCCAATTAGCACCTTTCTTAGCAGGAGATATTTTCAGAAAGGCTTACTGGATCATAAAGAAAGCATACGTTGTGTTTCCTTTCGTTCCTACGTGACAAGGACACATCACAGAGGAAAACAGTTCGTTGAAATCACCGGTTTTATGCGAATCGCTGCTGATGTTTCTGTGTTCCAAGGACAGGTTCGGTTTGCGTGGACGGTGAATGTCTGATGTGTTTTATATTCCTCTAACGGTTTCCATCCCCTTCGTGTTAAATGTTACATAATTTAAGAGACAAAAACATGTTTTGCTTTAAATTTTTATCAAAGAAATTAGTTGTTTTTGTACATTTATCAAGGTTTGACCTGTTTGGTGAGCGCTTGTGATGGTAGCAAAAGGAGGAATGTGACGAAGTACAACGCATGAAAAAAACAGGGAAACGGTTTTAATTTGCAGTTTGCAGATTAGCTGCTGAGCTGATCGCTCCCTGTTTGTGGCATTACAGCTTCTATCAGGGAAGTTGGGATTTCCTTGCAGCTGGAAATACAAGCAGCTCTCCTTACAGATAAACTTCCAGCAGGTTTCTTTTTTATGAAACTAACTTGCTGTGTGTACATTTTGTAGAACAACCATGACCACATGCCACCAATTCTACTATGAACAGCCGGCAAGTCCCTCAGGAAAGTTTTATGTCTGTAAGGCCGTATAAATACAGACCGGACCCCTTGGTGTTTGATGCAAGGAAATGCATTTCATTACGGATGGATGGAAACTTCAACTCAGCCGTGGGAGAGGGACTTACTGAATCAGTTTTCAACCTGTTTTATTGAATATGCACTGGGAGCATCACTGTCACTAAAACAGGACCTGGACCACATGCTGAGAAATAAGGGAGGAGATCATCCTGCCACAAGTGGAGCCGGCTTCGTGAAACACTCTGTTGAACCACCACAGTGTCTAGAGGCTGGTCGAGCAAGTTTCTTTTTAATTCTACATTCACACAGTTGGACCGTGAACGTAGCTGTTTGTCCAGTCGCTCCATATTCCTCTGCTAAACATGAAGTTCCTCAAATTCTGGACCTGAAAAAGACAA